ACGAAGACATAAATTATTACAAGCACATCCCCAATTGGAAGCTATTCTCTATATAGTTTTTAATTTCTATATCCACAATGATGATACACCCAATTCTAATTCTTTCACAACTGAAAATCAAAATAAATTCTTCAAAAACTATGTATGTTATGAAATTTGGAAATGAAGAAGATGCCTTTCTATTCTTATTTTTCAAGAAAAAAATACAATACATAAATTCTATTCATATGTTACAAAATGTTACACTGCTGAAACCATTGGTACCCAAAACCTATGATATCAAAGGAACAATGATATCAATGTCGATTATCTCCAAAGAAAACTTCACAACACAATATTATCTACATAATAAAATTAATTTTTTTATGATCATACTTCAATTTTCACTTTGTGCAATGCTGGCACGTATGACATAATGACAATAGAAAAAAATCCCTGAATCTAGAAGAGCAAATCTTCATCATTATCATCAACGATCATGTTTCTTCCCTCTTCCTCCTTTAGCTGACCTGCTGCCTTCAAAGCAGCTTTCTCTTTCTCTGCCTTGTCTCTCGCCTGTTTCTTCTTCTCCTGGATCTTCTTGAGGCGGTAGAACTCCTCTCTCTCCAGTTCGTCAAGCTCAGAGATGATGTAGGCAAGGGTACGTTCATAACGTGGAATGATGACTGAAAGAATAGAAGAAAATAACAATAAAAAATCATTATATAAAAATTTATAACTACTTTTAAAATTAACCCTTTGATGCCAGAAGAGCATATACACAAGCAGTGTGTATATCACTTTTGATGTACATGCACTTTTGTTTTATTAACTCAATGCCGCCAGAATGGCTAGTATTTAAATGCCATGTACACTGTGAGTTTAGTTTATTAATTGTCTTTACACATGGATGGCTTTACAAGTTATTAGTCACCAAGATGTCAATTACTTGTAAAACCTATCTCATCTGCTTACCTGTTTTCTTGATTTTTGGAACTCATATCTTTAAATTTATATTGCTGTATCATTTATAACATAACAATTACAATGTTTCTGATATTAGTAACAGCAACAATTTTGATAGCTTTTGTAAAACAAAACAGATTTCAAGATGAGGAAAATAATGTGAGGTCATAAGGTCTACTAATTGACTAAGCACTTGTGGACCATCTATGTGACATTTCATAAACCAAAACTACAGTCAGCATAACATTTTCCAAGCAGCATTGGGTTAATTTTGTTCACACTGAGGTATCCCTGACTTTACCAAATTACCCCACTCTTAATTTTTTGGATAGAATTTTCTATTTCTATTACCATTATATCTCTTGTTAATAATAATAATGATTATTACTACAACAATAATAATAATGATAAAAAAATCAGTAAGGATACTAATGAAAACAGAACCAAAAACTTTTTTTTCCCTTGAAAAAAATAAGGACTGGGGTAAACTAGTATGTGTGAATCCATGTGTGAACAATACTAATAGAACAAACTCCACTGGACAGTTTAAGTACCCAGCACCAATATGTTGAAACTGGAGTAAAGATAAAAAGAACTATTATTCATCAGCATAAAATATAATGACACATTATCTACTATGGAATACTAAAATACAATGAACAAACATGCCCAAAGATAATCGTTAACTACATCACCATTTGTGATGTATGACACACTGTTGCTAGGAAAATCTGATGTTCACCTAGTATTGTTTTGTGAAATGTATCTACTCCCAGATGGCTCCACAGTTCTCAGCCACCACAGAGTCAATTAGTAGTCTGCATGACCACCTTATTTCCCCCCTCCCTTGAGTTTTCAGAAAAAAAATATTTTTCTTTCAATCCTTTGATATTGATACTGTTATAATTACCACTGATATTATAATTAGTGCTGTGTTATTAACAATACTAATAGCAATATAGAAATAAAATAAAATGTTTCAGAAAATCAAGGACGAGGGTAAACAGGTGAGATAGGTAGAACTGGTAACACTCCTTAGCGACTTGTGGAGTCATCTATGTGTAAATATAATTTTAAAAATTATACTCGCTGGGTTAAACCAATTGTGTGTGTTACAGAATACTAAAGAACTGGGATAATAATTCTGTTCAGAACCTCCAAGAACTTTGCAGAAAACAAAGTAAATATAATAACTGAAAATACCCAAAAAATGTCATTATTATTATAATAATTTCATTTACTACTACTATTATCATCATCATCATTATTATTATTATTATTATTATTATTATTAATGACAACACTGACTCCATAACCCTTATTCATTTTTAAAAAAACTGAAGAAAAAGACAGATTTCCACTGGACCCTACTATCCAATTTTAAAAACTGAAGAAAAAGACAGATGGCCACTGGATCCCTTCATTAATTTCTACCGACAGAAGAGGTCCTACACACGATTACATCCAAGTCATCAAGAATACCATCCCTCTTGTGGGGGAGGAACAGGTGAAGTTAAAATAAAGTTTCTAAAATATTCAGGTTTTTCAGTATACC